AATACATTATTTTTCCTCTTCCTTCTCTCTTCCCTTCTTCCCATCACTCTCCCTTCTCCTCTTTGTCTCTCTCTCTCTCTCTCTTAAAAATGAAAAGAATAAAAAAAGGACAGTTTGCCCAGTTAGAGTCAGAACTAGTGCTCAAACCTCTATCTTCTGAATGAATGAATGAAAAAGCATTTATTAAGTGCTTTCAATTTGCTAAGCACAGGGAATACAAATATTAAAGCAAGGACAATCCTTATTTGAAGTGTCTTCAAGGAGCTTACATTCTAATGGGGAAACAACAAATTTAGAGGCATGGTAGCCAGGAAAGGATATTCTGGTTTGAAAAGTCAGAGGGAAGGGGAAGAGAACCATAAGGGAGTAGACTGTCACATCTTTATAGGAGCAATGACAGAACTGATTTGATTATGGTTCCAAAAGTAGAAAAGAGAGAAGCAGGAGAGAGCAGGGGAGATGCTCTGGGAAAGAAGTGACATCTGGCTGGAACTAGTCCTGGCTCCAGAACAAGTGTTCAATCCACTACACTACCTCCCCTTTCCATAAGGATCACCCTGGACTAGAGCCCCAAAGGCCCTCTCTAGAGAAGGTACCACTGGGCCCTGGATGGTTCACAGCTATTAAGTACCAGAGTCAAAAGGGCTTCGAGTTTCTGGAGTACAAGGATATGGGCAGGTAGCATTCTGACGGTCAGGGAGCACCAACCAGAGCACACAGGAAGTAAGTGCCTGCCTCAGTCTTTTCCTTTTTTCTTCCATGCACTGACTGGCTCTAGAGCACAGCATTCCTGTGTAGCCTCCATTTGTCATGAAAACATATTTTACACTGCCCCAGAGGAGGGGGAGACACCCTCACAAGTGCAAAATGTCAAAGCTAGGCTCTTACGACACACAAATTCAAGGATCTCTAAGTTTCTCCAATAGCACGAGCTTTGACTTTTCCCTGCCAAGTCTGGAAAGGTCACAGCAGAGATCTATTACTATGTGGAGACAGCTCAATTCTAGGTCTGCTAGAAAAATCTCTGCATCTTCTGTATTCTGGTACTTGAGAGGGATCAGCCATTTATTTCATTAAACACCTCCTATACCTGCTTCCAGGCATGGTGGGAGGTGCTGAGCCAGAAGAGCTATGCCAGAATCAGCAGAAATTTTAGAAGTCCCTCATTAGGCCACAGTACATAGGGTCAGTCTGTCTCAAAATCTCCATGTAGGCTTTCAAGTGGAGGCTTAGCTTTCTCTCCAACATCATTAGAACAGTGTTTTATGTTTCGTATCCTACGTTAGCTTGCAGACATTCCTATCTAATAACTAAATAAATGGTGTTTTGAAACTCAACTTGCCTACAGATCAAATTTATACAAATCAGGGACATACCTATCCCTATTAGGTAACTTCTTTTAAGTTGTGTGATATTTCAAATTAAGCAACTTCATAGCAAATTACTGACTTCTAGCTGAAGACTGGAGAGTTTCTCTAGTATAGGAAGGCAAGTGAGGCAAAGTACTCAAACCAGGAAGTTTGTTCTTAAATAATCCCAAATTCAGCTCACAGCTCAGTAGCCAAAACTACTTCAACCAACTGAAAGAACTGCTCTTACTCCATAGAAACTTATGGAAAGCACAGCAAAAACATCCTTCTGGGGATTACCTTGTTTCCAAAACCTTAATGTAAAATATAAATCATGGTTTCTGTGTGGCAGAATCTCCCCAAACAAAAAAAACGTGCTGCTTTCCCTAGGCTTCTGGAATGAGTAAAATGGTTCTTTTGCTCTTAAGTAGGGATCTGTTTAGGTTATTTTTTGCCAGCTTGTGAACAATGCTATCTCTTTCATATGCTAAAATGTATATTCGAGGTTCCAGACAACAGGGTGTTGGTATTTCATTTTCTGAACTGGCTACAAACAAGGAAGGACAACAGTAACTTTGTCTATTCACATTTAATACTGATACTCATTGTAGTTTTGCAATATTTAATGAATAGTAGATTTCTAACACAACTCCATCAACAGCTGAATAGTAGTATCTCAATCTTATAAGCAACAACGATTTACTAAGAATTTGAACTAGAAAGGAAAAGAGGCCATTTCAATAAAAGACAGCACCACTGTTAGCTTAAGATAGCCAAACAGAAGCCTACTCCAAGGAGGTGGAGCATGAAAGCTAGCAGTCTGGACATCTCTTCAGAGACTTCCAAACTTGGAGGAACTGTTTGTATAAATTGGCTTGATTAATGAAACCTATTTGCTGAATTGGTTCTGTAAAAGGTACAACATGAACTTCTTTAGCCTGACTAGGCCAGATTGGAAAACATGAAGAAAAGATACTCAGAAATCACAGGCTTTTCTTTCAGAAGCAATATTAATATCTGATCACCAAAGACCCCACTGCTTTCTTTAATTATAACATTCATCCACTTTAAAAAACAAAATTTGAGAAATAGCTAGAAATAACAATTGGACAATTTAAACACAGGCTATCTTATTTAGATTCATAAATGTACCAGAACCCATGAAGGGACTAGTAAACAATGTAACAAAATGGCAACAAGATCTAATTTATCCAAAATTCAAAAACACTACACCCAATATATGGTTTGTAATTATCTTAAACTAAAGATAGTAGTCATTTTTAAGAGAGTAACCTTTGAAGCATTGATTGATGATTGTTCAAATACTATAGATCAATATTTTTCCATTAAGAAATTAAATACTCTGGAAGTATATAATGACCTCAATGTAAGCACTAATTTTCACTCATTAAAACATCTTGTGACTGAGTACTTCCCATCTGCCACACCAGTTCCCTTTGGTCACGCAAAATCATCTAAATTGTACTTTCCTTAGTAAGTCTTGTCTGATTAGCGGCAAAGACTGCTTTTAACTGAGCTCCGCAATCCTGCTAATGCCCCTCTAATAATACTTGGAGAGACAAAATATCTAAAGTAAACATGAACAAAAGTGGTTTTATGTCACCCATCTTGTTTTTCGCGCGTTAAAGTTTACAGATGGCACCTAACCCAACTAAATGAGCTTTGGGAATGGAAAGGGGTCCATGAAATGGTAGCATTGTCACATAATGCTGGATGCCACATTTAGAGAAATTTAAGAGTATTTTTGAAGATGGAAAATGAACTGCTAGTGAGGATAATCCCCCTCTTTAGGGGGTCTTCTGTTCTCCTAGGTTCCTTATCATCCTTATCATCTAACATTTACTATATGCCCAGTGAGAACAGTACTAGAAGATGAAAAAAAATCATATTAATGACTATAGGGGTTCATCATTGGTGCTCAATAAATGGCATAGCAATCACTCGATCAAAAGAATTTAGAATATTCAGTAAGGAGCTCTTCTAATGACTTTGTCAGGCCTAGGATTTCAATCCCATGCAGATCAACAGCTCTATTGTAACTGATAGCCTTAGTTCTCTGGGGTACTGAAAAGCTAAATGGGCTTGCCCAGGGTGACAGCTGAATGGCAAAGCGGCATTCATATGGGTCAAAATTCAATATAATTATGAAGGTAAATTAATCTAGCCATACAAATACTGACCTCGGAAGGTGCTCACCATTAACTCTTTAATCTATTATTTTACCATACTGGCCTGGTCTCTGTTCCTGATATTACATGTTCTAGCTCCTGGACCTATGCCATGGTTCCAGGCTGTCACCAGGCCTGGAATGCTCTCCCTCTCAACCTCCAGTTCTTTGAATCCTTGGCTTCCTTTCAGAATCAGTTTTTAAGTCTTCCGTAGGTGGCCTCTCCCAGTCCCCTGAGCTGCTAGTGCCTTCCCCTCTGAGACTGCCTTCTGTCTGCTTGGTATGTACATACACATGTGGTCTTCTTTAAAATGTGGATAAGCTACCCGAGAGGAGGGACTGTTTTTGTATTTTCATTGTATCCTCAGCACTTGCCACAATACCTGGTACATAAGGCCTTAATAATTGCACACTGATTGGTTAATTGAAGAAATTTAAAACTCCAAAGGAGTTTAAGATATTATTACTGTAGTAAGCTGCCTTGCATGCTAGAGTGAGTATGTGTGAATGACACTACCCTCTATCCTCCCTCTAATGTACCATGGCTGGCATGATGGACAGCTGCAGGGAGGAAGTAATGAGTGATCACATCATTGATTCAACATTTCTGGAGCACTTACTATATTACGTACAAGACATTTCTCCTTCCTTTATTTGCATTGTAATATCTGCCATTACCCTTAGCTTCCAATATTAGAAATAAGTAGGAGATAGAAAGTGAGTGATTACTCTGTTTATAAGATAAATCAATGTAGTGGTTGAAACTTAAATGATATGAAACATACTAGTCATATCACAGTCAAGCTTAAAACTTCTTAAGAAATGCAAATTATGGATTCCCAAGTGAATGTGACCAAACATTTAAAGAACAATTCACTCTGACGCCATATAAACTATTTCAAAAAATAGGTGAAAAAGGAGTCCTGTCAAATTCCCTTTACAGCACAAATTACGGTGCTGATAAGCTGAGCCTGGAAGAGCCAAAACAGAGAAAGAAAACAAGAGACCCATTTGCCTAATGAATATTGATGCAAAAATTTAAAATAAAATGGTAGGAAGGAATTTATAGCAATACATCACAAGGATCATATATAATGATCTGGTGGGATTTATACCAGGAATTCAGGGCTGGTTCAATATTAGAAAAACTATCAGCACAATTGAACATATCAACAACAAAAACAATAGAAATTATATCATTATATCAAAACAAGCAGAAAAAGCTTTTAACAAAATACAACACTCATTCCTATTTAAAAAACAACAACAAACACTAGAGAACATAGAAATTGAGAAATCTATCTAAAACCATCAGCAAGCATTATCTATAATGGGGACAAGCTAGAAAGAAGCCTTCCTAGTTAGATCAGGAACATTAAAGTCCGACTTTCTTTTTTAGGTGTGTTTACTTCCTATTAATCAACCATAACACAATGTAGAGCACAAATCGTGTCATTACTTACGTAACTATGGCTTTTAAGGTAATCTGACGGGCTGTGCGTGAAAACTTTATCTCCTTCCAAACCAATTACTCTTTTACAAATATTTGATTTAGGATCACTTGGACTTTTGGCAATTATAATGTCACCTCTGAAAGGAAAAATTAAGAAAAATTTCAAGATGCTTACCAAATGTTATTTATGAGACACAAATATGTCAGTGATACGATTCCAGCACATCCTATACATTATGCTCCAATACATGTGATACATTTACTTAGCACTTTACAGTTTCTTATAATAATCACTAGTATTTACAGAGTGCTTGAAGGTTTACAAAGCTCTTTGCAAATATTATTTCACTTGATCCTCAAAAATGGAAGGTAGATGTTATTATCCATATTTTAGAATTGAATAAACTCAAGCAGACTGTGATTAAGTGACTTGCCCAGGGTCATACAGCTAGTAAGTATCTGAGTCCAGGGTCAGGTCTTCCTGACTCCAGGTCCAGTGCTCTATCCACTACACCACCCAGTTCTCCTTTGATTTTCATAAACCCCACTCTAGGAAGTAGGCAAATATTATTTTTCCCATTTTACCAATCAGGAAACTGAGACTCAGAGGAAAAATTACTTTTGCAGGACAAATACCCCCAAAATGGCAGATTTTGGACTAGAACCCAGGTCTTCTCACTTCCAATCCAATGTTCTTTCAACTACCCCAAATACACTGATGTGGTCTCATGTTTAAAAGTCAGAAGTCATCAATTAATGTGGTAGCAAAGGCATGACTGGGACCTCCTACATCTGTGCGCTCCATGATCTGTTATTTCCCCCACTTCTGGGAGATATCACCCGCACACTAATCTTCAGAAATAAAACATGGAAAAAGAACCCACCATAAACCTCTCAAAATTAGCTATGTAAAATGAATCATACTACTATCCAGTAAACAGGGTTCCTACTTTGAACAGACAGAATAATTAGAAGGATCAACCCTGCCTTCAAGGAAGTCAAAGATAGTGGCCTTAGTTATGCTGAACAATCAGGTTTGTTTGCAAGACAAGTCAACATTTAGTTCCATTCACTGGAGAAATAAATAACACTGTATTTGAGGTCAATTCAAAAAATTTTACTTAGTGTCTTCTATATATCTTACAGCTAAAAGATTCTGTAACATACTCCCTGCCTCCAAGAAGTGTACAAATTTGTTGGGGAGAGTGATATGAGAAAAAAAAATTCAAGTACAATAAACGAGAGAATATTAAATACTAAATTGTGGCACTGGTGTGTGGTACCTCATTAAAAATAATATTATCATTATTGCCAGGCAGTATGGGGTAGCAGGTGAAGGAGGGCCTTGAAGTCAGAAGTTTGGGGCCTGAATTAGACCTCGGTTTTCAGCTATGGGTGATCAAGAACATCACTAAATTTCTCAGAGTCTTGATTTCAGCTTTTGTAAAATGAGGATAATAATTACCGCAGTATTTATTTCATAGATTCATGAGGACCAAATGAGTACAACAAGCATTTTGCAAATCTTAAAGCAATACCTAAATGAATTATCATTTCCACCTCCATTATGGGAGATTATGAGTGAGAGATCTGTGTGGGCTGGAGGAATATGAGGTGGCTTCATGGGAGAGTAACGTGTGAGGTGGAGACTGAAGGTCAGTTCAGACTTACACAAGTGCAAAAGAATGGGGAACACACAAAGAACAGTAATTGTGTACATATGCATATATATTTACACACACACATATACAACATATAAAATACTGACCCATACACTACACATATATGTATATGCATTACAGAATAGATTCCTCTGCCTACACTAGACACCCATATTCTCTCTATAAGGAACTGAAATCCCCACACTAAAAAAAAGCTCAAGTAAATCACGAACATCAAAGTAAAAAAGGCCATGAGAATTACGTGGGGAATCTACAATTATTGTGGACAAGGAATTCGTATCTTTTCAAGGAAAATATTTTAAAGGTTAACCCACAAACAAGAAATTTACCTTTAAAGAACAATTGGACCTGTCTACAAATAGAAAGGGTTGCCTCAGTAGTTAGTGAGTTCCTTGTTACTAGAATTCTTGGGGGAGTCAGGAGGACCTAAGTTCAAATCTGGCCTCCGACACTTGACGCTTACTAGCTGTGTGACCCTGGGCAAGTCACTTAATCCCTATTGCCTCACCAAAACAAAACAAAACAAAAAAAATTCTTGAAGCAGAGGTCAGATGGGATAAAAGAGGTCCGTGCTTTGGATGAAGGAGGGCCTAAATGAACTCTCTGATCCTCCTCTTATTATAATCTTCAGAAATTTCTCACTTCAAAATTCCATGAATGAAATTTACCTTTGGATAGCATAAAAATGTCGGCTAAGATTTTCTGCGAAGACAATGTCAGAACTCTGTATTGTAGGCTCCATTGATGGTCCAGAACACTATAAAGAGATAATTTTATAATTAGAAAATATTTATCTAACAGAAATTATGAATTTTTAAAAATTCTTTTAAAGAAGCCCTACACCCCCAAAGCTCTTGCTATTCATTATTTTTAAATAATTCTCAAGATAACACACTGGGTACGTACTTATAATTGAATTCAACAAACATTTATTAAGTGCTTACTATGTGCTGGCCACTGGGGATACACAGCCAAAAATGACAGTACCTGATATCAAGAAGATTTCATTCTACTAGGGGAAACAACCCTTACAGGCAAATAAATATAAAATCATTTGCAGAAGGGAAACCAATAGCTAGAGGGATTCAGAAGGGCTTTACCTAGGAAGTGGCACACATTCTGGGTTTTGATGGAAATGACAGATTTTCAGAGGCAGAAGTAAAGAATGACTGGGAGATGGCCTGTGCAAAAGCAGAAAGCCAGAAGAAGGAAGGAGAATCATGTGTAACAGACAGTAAGAAGGCCAGCTTGGCTGCACTCCGACAGATGAAAGGAAGTAATATATAACATGTCTGGAAAGGCAGGTATAGTCCAGATCGTGAATGGTTTTACATATAGAAGTTTACATTTTAACCTAGAAACAAGAGGGGGCCACTGGAGTTTTCTGAGGAGAAGGATGTGGCCAGACCTGTGCTTTAAGCATGTCCACTCTAGCAGCTTTGTGGAGGATGGACTGAAGAGGGAAAAGACTTGAGCCAAGGACATCAATTAGGGGGCCTTGCAATAAACCAGACAAGAGGAAATGAGGTCCTGAAGCGGGGAAGAGGCTGAAGGAGCAGAGAGAAGGGGACAGATGTGACAAACGTTGTAACAACTGGAAACTGGATATGTAGGGATACAGAGACAAAAACCAATTCCTGCCCTCAGGAATCTTATATTCTACCGGAACAAAACTCATAAACTCATATGTACTCAAAATATTCAAATGTATCTGTGATCTCACTAATGTGTATGTTCTCAATTAATCAAAACTGAACCTCATCCATGCTCACCCTGCTGTGTGACCCATGTCCACACTGTGCCACAGGTTCACAGCAGAGGGCTACCCAATATGCTTTCTCCTCCTATCACAAGGATACCAGTAGCAGATAAGAGATGTCCTCATCCTCGTGCAGGATAATCCCATTGTCTTTTATAATCATATATTTATTTAAAAATATTGTTTATTCCCGTTCTTCACGGGTCCTTGTGTGTCATGTGCTTCAGCCTGCTTCCCCTGGTCATGGGCCTGTACATTACCTTTGGTGTGATACACTTTTAGTTCTTGGAGACTGGGGTATTCTATGATTCCCAGTCATGCAATGACAGTGGGAGCACATTGGTATTAAAAAGAGAAGCTTTTCGGGGGCAGCTAGGTGGCACAGTGAATGGAGCACCGGCCCTGAAGTCAGAAGGATCTGAATTCAAATCCAGCCTCAGACCAAACATTTGATACTAACTAGCTGTGTGACCCTGGGCAAGTCACTTAACCCCAATTGCCCCCCACCCCCCCAAAAAAGAGAGAAGCTTTTGTTTCTAGGAGAAGATTGGGGTCACTAAAAGAGCTTTATAAATTGCCTGAGCATAGCCTACCTTACTCTCCTATTCATTTTAGGTTCAACTTATTATATGTTTGTAGCATCTAAGACCACAGGATCAGGATCATAGACTGGGGGCTGGAAGAAACCTTAGGTACCCAGTATAAATGGACAAGACCCCTAAGGTGTCAATCTAAATTGCAAGTCAATGTGGACAAAAGGCATACATGATTTGCTTTGTTTTTCCTTTGCAGGTGGGGATTAAATGAGATATTTATAAATATCTCATTTAATCTTCAAAGGAGAAGGAAAGAGATAAGCACTATTAAGCACCTATGTCCCAGACATGGTACTAAAAGCTTTGGAGATAATATTGATTAGATACAGATCTTTTCCTAGAGATATCTTGCAGTTTTTATCCTGGGACTCAATGCAACAAGCATGGTGTCATCCACAAACAGGAACATCTGAAGGACTTCATCATCTACAAAGTATCCCTCTTTGACCTGGAATTCTGTGCTGGATCTCTTCCATTATAATGGAATACAGCCCTTTGTTTTATGCCACCCTAGATGTTAATGATCAGAAGACTGTCAAAAAGGTCATGCTACAACTTTCATGGAACCATGAATAACTTTGATGTTTTCATGGGAGACCCTTTGTTGGAGGACAGCCTTCAAGGTGGTATTCTGCTCCACCAAATCAAATGCTGGGATATAATCAACAATAAGCAACAGTGGGATGTTGTATTCTTAATATCTTTCAGTCACTTGTATGAGCATACAGATATGGTCTACTTTAGAATATCACTTGAAAAAGCCCATTTGTTTCTCACTAATAATTAACCAACATTTATCAAGTGACTATTATATGCTAAGCACTGCACCAATCACTGGAGACATAAAAAGAGGTAGATAGTCCTTGCCCTCCAGGAGCTCACAATCTAATGGCAGAAGACAATAAACAAATATATACAAATAAGCTTTACAGGATAAATATCAAATGAATAAAATAAAGGCACTAGAATTAAGAAGGGTTGGCAAAAGCTTCTAATACCCTCACTGAGGATGCTTCCAATGCACATGTCAGTAATTTGCACAAACATTCTGTATAGACAGGAAAGTAGACATAGAGATCAGTAGTGCTGATGTTCTTTTGATCACTTTTTGGGGGTAGGGAGGACTAAGACTTTTTTCCATTTGTTTTATAATTTCCCCTCCTTCAGATAACTTGCAAATTGAGCTCTCAATACCCTCACAATGGTGTCATCTCTGGCACAAAACTCCTCTATATACACTTGGTCTAATTCAGAAGCTTTCCTTTCCCTGGTGCCATTTCTAATTGTACAGGCATATCCAGAAGTGTGATAACAAACACCAGGCATAGTTAGGAGAGGAAAGGAACAAGCATTTATAGAGCACCTGCTGTGTGCTAGGCACTGTGCTAAGCGCTTTATAAATATCTCATTTAATCTTCACAACCCTAGGAGGGAGGTGCTGTTATTATTTTCATTTTACTGTTGAGGAAACTGAGGCAAACAGATTTAAATGAATCACCAAGGGTCACACAGCGTGTAAATAAAGCCATATTTGAAATCAGGTCTTCCTGACTTCAGGCCAAGCACTCTATCCACTGTGACAAATAACTGTCTCTAATTTCCTCTAGTTGTTCCCCAGTCCTTGATAGTGGAAAAATTGTTTCAAGAATTTGTGCATTTTTTCCATTTTTCTCGGGTTTATTGTTCCTCTTCTATTTTTATACTTAAATGCCCTTGGCAAAAGTTTGTTTAGTTTTTTCTCCTGCCACAATTTCTTTAAACTGGTTTTACACTTTACTGTTTTTCTCTGTTTTAAGAAGCAATGCTGTTTCCAATTTTTCATCACTGATCTCTACAAGATTTTACAAGTGATAACATATTCTGAAACAGTGTTGTCCTAGGTTGACATATCTTTTTTCTTGGTTTATAAGTCAGGTATTCGCTGACTAAAACACTTCTTTTGGCCTTTCTTGGTCTCCTTTTTTATATAGATTGATTTACAACAGCTAAATCTTTATGAAAATATTCTATTATCTATCTTCATCTATCCCATCCATATCCCACTTTTCATCATCAATAACTTGTTTAAATAGGTCAAGATGTAGTTGTTTTGATTGCATATCATGTCTTTTAATTTTATTTTTATTCTTTTTAAAAATATTATATTAATTTTTATCTCTTTTCTAATAATATAGTCAGTGTTCTATCTACAGACAGTTGACTTGGGAATCATCCCTACATCAAAAATGAGTGTTTACCCATTTGTTAACATTTAATTCATTTCATTTTGTTGTGGGATATTATTTGGTACTGCACAGAACTTTCCAATTTTTCTCTTGAAGAAAGTGTTCAATTATTACACCATAAGAAACTGCAAATATGAAGAATACTGAGACACTGGCAAGATTTAAAGTTATTGATGCAGACTTAAATAAGCAAAACTAGGAGAATAATTTATGCAATGTCCACACTAATGTAAAGGAAAACAATACTGAAAGACTTCAATCTTCAGAAAGATGTTGATCAATGTAGTGACCAGGTACAAATACAGAGAATTTGATGGTGAAGGATCTAACAGCAAAGAGATGGTGGACTTCTGGATTAAAATCACCAGCTATCAGAGTATATGTTGATATAATGTACAAGGTCTTGGAATTCTTCTCAGAGTTTCTTTACCTCTTTCTCCTTTGAAATGAATGTTAGTTCATAAGCTACAATTACTTTCATGGTGATATTTTTGCAAAAGCTGATCATGAACACTACCAATTCGAGATGACCAAATGTCCCATGAAATTGTGTTTCTTGCTACTTTGGAGCACACCACAAAAATGACTTCAACAATTCTTTATTTGCTTCTGCAAACCATCTTTCCATTCAGATAACATCATCTATTGGGGATTGGACAAAGAGTGGAACACTACTGACTAAGTTGAAACTTATGTGATTTCTAATGGTCTGATCCACTTTCCGCTACATACATAGCCACTATAGCTGCAAGAGTGGAAGGTCATAGGCCCATTTCATATTTTTCTTTCTATCCTGGGTCACCATAGCCAAAACCTTCATCACCAAGAGGCCATTCAACAGAGGATGAAGCTCTGAACTTAGCTTAGAAGTTCCTCAGAAAGCAGACTTAGTCTGTTGCCTGGACTATGCATAGATAAGCAAACATGAAGGATACACAAATACATAAAGTAATTTCAAGACATAGAGAACACTAATGACCAGGGGGCTCATAAAAGGCCTTGTGTAGGAGGTGGCACCTGAGCTGGGCTTTGAAAGGAAGGGATTCAAAGAGGTCGAAGATAGAAGTGAGGAGAGAATTTGTTCCAGAAATGGAAGACACCTTGCTTAAAGGGATGGAGTCAGAAAATGGAACATAATGTACAAGTAATTAATGGCTGGTATAAGCTAGTTTGACTGTAATGCAGAATAATGTGAAATGAGACTGAAAAGATGGGAGACAGATTACGAAGGGCAGATTACGAAGGGCTTTAAAAGCCAGACTAAGGATTTTTTATCCTAAAAGAAATATTGAGACAGTGAGGATCTTTATAAGAGTTTCACGTGGTTAGATTATGTTTCAGAAATATGAATTTGGCAAAAGTGTGGAAGATGAATTGCACAAGAGAGAGCCTGGAATGAGAATGCCAATTTGAAGGTTACTGCAATGGTGTAGATGAGGTTATGAAAATATGAACTAAGATTATGGCTAGGGAAAGAAAACATGATACAGATGTGATGGCAGAAACAGTAAGACTTTGCAAATAACTGAACATGGGGGAGAAGGGTGAAGAAGAGGGAAAAGGTAAATGATTCCAAGGTTGTGATCCTAAGTGCCTGAAGAATAGTGGTACCCTCAACAGAAAGGGGGAAATTAGACTAAGAATAGGTTTGGAGGTTTAATATAATGAATCCAATTTTGGAAATGGAGAGTTTAAGATGCATATGATTAGAAATTTCCAACAAACATTTGGTAATATGGACCTGAAGTTTCAAGAAAGAGAATAAAGTTGTATATATAGATGTGAGAGTCATCTGCATAGATGATATTTAGATTCATGAAAGCTGACAGGGATCATGGAGAGAGTATAGAGAGAAAAGAAAAGGGCTGGGAACAGAACTTTTGGGGATGCCAAAACTCAGCAAGCAGAAACAGGAGGATGATTCTGCAAAGAAGTATGAGCACAGACAAACCAGGAGAATGACTCAGAGAGATCAGTGTCACAGAAGTCAGGGGAGAAGAAGGTATCAGGGAGAAAGGATGGTCAATAATCTCAGAAGCTGTAGAGAGGTCAAGTAAAATGAGGGCTAAGAAAAGAATGCAGAACAATTAAAACAGCCTTCCTAACCTTGGAGAGATCAGTTCAGCTGAGGGATGGGGCAGACACCATATTCTTGGGAGTTGGAAAGTGAGTAAAAGGTGAAGCAACGGGGCTAACAAATATGTGACCTTTTAGGGAATTTGACTGGGGATAGCAGGATTAAGTGAATGTTTGCAAAGGATACAAGAGACTTAGGTAGACTGTAGACAGGAAGAAAGACTACATTAAAATAAAAGAGACTGCCAATTGCAAGTGATGATTGAAGGGACAAACAAGACCAGGGAGAAGAGCTGGCTTTTGTGAGAAAGGTAGACTCTTCATCAAAAACTGGAACACAGAAGGAGAGACCAGGGGATGATGAAGGGGTCATCCTTCATGGTAAGAAGGCACAAAATAGGAGAGAAAAGGATCAGGATGGGTGGCTTGTTTTCTCAATAAAGTAGGAAGCAAGGGCCCCTGCTGAGAAGGAGAAGGACAGTAGGATTTCAGAGACAGGAGATTTGGAATGACTTCAGTGAAGACTGTGGTGGTCAATCAGAAAGAAGTACAGTTTCACCTCCTAATCCAGGTAGTTGATATTAGATAATAAAGATCTGTGCTGAACCTAGTCAGCATGGTTTTATGACTTTCTTCAGTACGTTGAGTGGGAAGAGAGAAAGTGAATGTTTAATGGTGATACCCAAGGACTGCAATTTAGCAAAGCACGTTTGGTAAAAGGAGAAAGGGCAAAGAGGTTAAAGGGTAGAAGTTGGTACGGTGTTGAAATGGTCACCTGCAGAGTCAAGATGATGAAGACAGGACAGTGAAGTCAGAGCAAAGTTAATGTACCAAGAGAAGAGAGAGGGACAGACTGACTGGAAGTAATCGTGAAGATGAGAAATGGGTTTAGGAGCAAAGCAGAGGGAGAGATGGACACAACAGAGGTCGTGATCAAAGGAATTCTTAAAAATTCAGTGTCATGGAGGCAGAGCAGCTATAGTGTTGGTAGGAACAAACATATGACCATCTTCACACATGCCTGAAGTCAAGTAAAAGTCATCACCGCTGGCGCTGGGGAGCTTGGTGAATTAGTGTATCAGCATGTTCAAGGGGACACCAACATGTTCATTAAATCTTTCAGGTGTGAGGGGAGCAATTTGGAGCGGGAGGAGGATGCTGAGCCAGGTGCTCAGCACCTGGAAAAAGGCTCTCACCTCGAAGTGGGTAGATGGCTCCATGAAATGAATCAAGTGATAAAGAGGGATGGATTAACAACTTTAAAAGGAGAGGCTGCTTCGTAATGGTAGCAATGTACAGTGCAGAAATGGGAGTAAAAAGCATGCTCATTTATAGATTTCTTTGTGTCACAAAATGTTAGAAAAATTATGTTCGATTAATCCATATTGTTATTGAGGAAACTATCAGGATAGGGGACAAGTCCCTAACTTTATAATAATAATTCTCGGTAACATAGCTGTGCCCTCTTGCAACAGGTCCTTATGCCTGTTGGAAATAAAATACAAAGCTTAATGGATAATGGATCAGACTAAGTAATAAAAAAATCTTATTTTTTTAAACATCAATTAAAATTACATAGTCATACCTTCATCTAACCCCAGAATCTAAGGATATTTTATATTTCAAACTGCTTGTTTTGACTAACTAGTGAATGGTTACAAATACAGATCTTTTACCAAAACTTAAATGTTTATCAGTGTCACTGTTATTGAATATTCAAAACTTACCATGACAACACCACCAACGTATTCAAAGGCACAATGAGCTATGCAGCCATACTGAAGAGTATAGCCAAGAAGTCGAAAGGTTTTTCCCAGAATACTTCGAAGCATAGTTTTATGCAGACTCGGACACCACTGGCCTGATAATAAATTTTCAAAAGTTATATAAGCAATGACTTAAAAATCATTGTCAACATGCTACATTTTAAAATGGCTACACTTTTTAAAAAAGCATACCGTAATACCTGATATGAAAGTATCTGGGAAAGTATCAGGCTTCATATATAGGTGATATGTAGAATGCTATGCTAGAGTACACCACAACTATATATGATATGTAGTTATTCAAACAACTCATAAGATGGGTGCTCAAGGGGATCAAATGACATAATGGATACAAAAGCATTTGGGAAAGTGTAAAGCACTCTCCCAAACTGAGGCAATCACATTCCCTGATTCTTTGGAATGTTTCTCATCTCCGTCCCTCCCTCTTTCTTCCCACTGCTATTGCTCCTACCCAAGCTACAGCTCGGGCTATAACAATACCCCACCGATGTGCTTCTTTACTCTGATCCATCCTCCACCCTACACATTACCACCAGACTGTCCCATCTTTGCCAAGAAAACCCCAAATGGGGTCACAAAGATTCAGACACTACTGAAAAACTACTGAACAAAAAGAAGGATGCCTACCATCGCCATTATTTTGTAATCTAGTGACAGAAATATCAGCTAAACAATAAGATAATAAAAAGAAATTGAAGGAATAATCATAGGCAAAGAAAAATTAAATTCAAAACTCGTGTCAACGATATTATGGTGCACTTAGAAAACTCTAGAGTCATCTAGGAATGACTTGAAATGATAACTTCAACAAAGTTGTACGATATAATAAATCAAAACAAACCATCAACATTCCTCTATATAAGCAACAAATCCTAGCAGAAAGAGCTAAAAATGAAAATTCAATTCAAAATAATTAAATAAGCTTTAAGACAGTTGGGAGTATATCTATCAAGATTCACACTGAGACTATATGAATCAAACTATAAAATACCATTTGTAGAAATAAAAACAAACCCATATAATTGGAAAAACATTAATTGCTCATGGATAGGTTGAGCCAATATAATAAAAATCACAACACAACCTAAAAAATTTACTTACATACTTCTATATAAATTTACTACATCAACCAAATTTCTGAAAAAATAATAATGAAATTCATAGAAGCAAAAAAGGTCAAGACTAATAATGAAAAACAATGAGAAGGAAGGTCTATCAGTAGCAGATCTCAAACTATATTACAAAGCTGTAACCACTAAAATGAGTTGACACTATTTTTAAAAATGTAATGGAATATTATACCATAAGAAATCATGAAATGGACAATTTCAGGGGACATTGGGAAGACCTCTATGAACGGATGATATATAGTGAAATGGGTGGAAATAGAATAACTTATGTAACAATAACATTTTGGAGAAAAACAACTTTGACCAGCTTTAGAATTCTGATTAAGACCATGATAAATCAAAGGAATAAAGATGAAATAACCCACTAACCTCTTGACAGAGAGATGAAGAACTTAAAATGCAGAAATACATTTTCAGACATGGCTAATGTAAGATTTTGTTTTGCTTGACTATAAACTATGTATTCAGGAACTGTCGGATCTATTTACTTTGACCTAACCTCTCTCCTGACCTCCTAAACATGTCCAAAATAAAACTTACTGTGTTTTCCTCAAAACACTCCCCTCTTTCTAATTTCTCTGTTACTGTTGAGGATACCACCATCCTCCCAGTCACGCAGGCTTAAAACCTAGATGTCATTTTCAACCTCTTGTTCTCTCACTAACCATCCTCCCCCCATATCCAATCCATTGCCAAGTCCTGTCAATTCTACTTTCACAACATCTTTTTACATCCCCCTTCTCTCCTCTGACACAGCTACCACTCTGGTGCAGGTCCTTATCATCTCTCATCTGGAATACTGCAATATAGCCTTCTAGATGGCCTCTCTGCCTCAAAGCCCTCCCCTCTCCAGTCCATTTTCTATTCAGCTGTCAAAGTGATCTTCCTAAAGTACAGGCTTGGCCAAATCATACCCCTACTCAAATTCCAGTGGCTCCTTATTACCTTCAGGACCAAAAAAAAGATACTCTGTTTAGCTTTCAATGCCCTTTAACTTGGTCCAGTCCTATCTTTCCAGTCTTTTTACACTTTGCTATTTCTACTGGACTCTGTGATCCAGAGACACTGGCTTCCTTGCTGTTCCTCACAGAGACCACTCTATCTCCCAGCTTTGGTGCATTTTCACTGGCTGTCCCCCATGCCTGGAATTCTCAACTTTTTCATCTCTACCTCCTGGCTTTCCTGACTTTCTGATCCCAGCTACAGATCTAATTTTCTTCAAGAAGCCTTTCCCAATCTTCCTCAATTTTAGTGGCCTCCCTCTAAGACTATCTCTAATTTATCCTGTCTATATCTTGTCTATACTTAGTTATTTGCTTGTTTTCTCCACCATCAGATTGTGAGCTCCTTGAGGGCAGGGACTATTTTTTGCTTTTCCTTATATCCACAGTGTTTAACATGCAGAAGGCATTGACTAGACCTATTCTGTTTTTAGCTTTTTAAAAATTTGCTCAATAGAATGGGGCAGAGTGGGAGGCATCAATTAAGTTTTTTTTTAGTTTGTCAATTAAAAAATAAAATAAGCTTATTTTTTAAAGAACAAAAGGTCTAGAATATCAAGGGAAATAATTAGAAAGTATAGGAGTATAGTCTGACTAGATTTCAATCTACATTATAATGCAGTAGTCATCAAAATTACTTGGACCTGGTTAAAAGAAATGATACAAAAGTAGATGGGTTGAACAGACTAGATAAGCAAGAAGCATAAGCAACCAAAAAACAGTAGAATAGCACTTGATAAATCATGAACATAAATTTTTAGAGAGACTTTCTTTTTGGTAAGAACTACTGAGAAAACTAGAAAGCAGTTTATCAGAAATTAGTTTTATACCAATATCTTAAACCATATGCTATAATCAACTCAAAATTGATATGCAACCTGGATACAAAAGGTGACACCATAAAAAATAGAAGATAATAAAATAAATAATAAGAAAATTATCTTTCTCATCAGAACTATAGCTAGGAGGAGAATGCTTAACTAAACAAATGATAGAGAATATGTGAGAGAGAGATATTGATGGATGTCAGACATAGCCACTATATCACATTTTTTCTTGTTTTTATTTGTCACCAAGAATGGTTCAATGGAGTAGAATATGAAATTACTGTGATATAAATATAGCCTAAAGAAATCAACAAAATGATTTTTTCTTTAAAGAATAGGTTGCATTATACTTTCCTTATTTGCTGTTTTGATAGAATTATTAAACTGGTATGTTCGGAGAATAATGTAGTAATTTACTTAATTTTGTTGTTATTGTTTAGTTATTCAGTCATAACTGATTCTTCACAACCCCACGGACCATAGCATGACAATCTTGGCAAAGATACTAGAGTAGTTTGCCATTTCCTTCTCCAGCTCATTTTACAAATGAGGAAAATGAGCCAAACAGGGTTAAATGACTTGCCCAGAATCACACAGGTAGTTAAGTGTTTGAGGCCAATTTGAATTCAGGTATTCCTGACTCTAGGCCCAGCACTTGATCCACTGAGCCACCTAGCTGCCTCCTACTTAGATTTTAGCAAGACATTTTGTAAAGTAACTAATAGGAGAAAGTAATTCCTTATGGAAAAGATGTAAAGATGCAGGTTTGAGGTATGGTTAAATGGATGCTATAGACAGTAAAGACATCTAAGAGTGTATCATGTAGTGAAGATGGTTAGTAAACACTATTTAAGGTCAAATCCTGCTTCAGTTCTGAGAACTGTACTTAACTAGATTATCCCTTAAACTCAATTCAGTTCAATCACTGATTAACTCACTTAGTCTTCACAAACTAGCATAACTTTAGAGATGAAAGGGATTTCTGTGGCTATCTTAGTCCAATCCCTAACCTCTCTAACATACACACAGTAAGGAGTGATCCAGCGTCTACTTTTAGATCTCCAATGGCAGCCTACCACCTCTTGAGAATACATACCCATTCTACTTCTAGACAACAGTACGCATGAGGAATTTTTTCTTGACATCAAGCCTAAATTTACTCCTTTACAACTTCTACATGTTCTAGATTCTGCCCTCAAGTATCAAACAGTTCAAATCTAATCCTTCCATTCGACAGATCTTCAATAACTTTAAATATTCAACAACTATTTATTGGAGTTCTACTATATACGAGGCACTGTGCTAGATACTTTGAAGATCATAAAGATGAAAAAGACATAGAACCTGCCCCCCAAGAAGCTTACAGTCCACTGTTTGGTGATCGTTGTTGTTTTTAAACTAAGCAATGTACCAAAGCAATGGACAGAGGAGCCTTAATGTACTTTAGCAATATGATTCTAGGATACAGTAATATCTGAAAACTTTCTTATTAAGTAATGAATAATTGGTAAATTAAAAACCCACTTAAAGTGAAAACAAAAATATACTACCCCTATAGTTATAGGTGTATATATATATATATACACATAGTATATATATAGTATACCCCTATATACTATATGTTTTAAAACTTATGTGTATTTAAAAATAGTTTTCATATTTTGCAAATGAATGTATAGCATCACAAAAGCTCTGAGGATTAACCAACTGAAAATGAACTTTACCTGCTATGCAAATTAAAATGAGTATTTCTATTAACTAGAATTTTCATGATTTTTGTTTGAAGCATAAAAGTGAAGAAAGAATAAGAAAAGACTCTAAAGCTTAACAGAGATACCATCTCAGAACGAGGGCATTTAACACTAAGAACAAGAAAATGGGTATTGCATTTAGAAACTAAAATAAAGTACTTTTCTCCTGTTAGAAACAATGTATTAGAAGAGCATACATGAGCCATATGGCACTCATCATGAAAATACTATTAATACAGATGAAAAGCTGAAATTGGATTATAAATCACTTAGCGCTTTGCCAAAATTCAAATCAGTCTGAGACACTATACAATACTGTTTCCACTCAGCTAAAGACTACTTAAAAACAAAATGATGTTGTCTTT